GTATTACATACTTTGAGAGTCGGTTCACAATAGCTAGGATCGAAGTCATGCCTTTTACATTCAGAAATCCCACAATCAGATCTATCGACAACGACTTGAAAGCCTATTTTAACTTATTGTTTTTTCTTACTGACAGTGTAGGCACATTCAGACAAAGGACTCGACATTGTTTCCCATCTTTAACAAATATAACTTTCACGTTATCAGAGCATACATCAAATTCATGTCGGGATGGCAAGCCCACAGAGAGTCGTGATAGTCTCTCAAGAGCTCACGTCTTATCTCTTTGGATGGAATGTATATTCTCTATCCTTGAGCGTATAGCAGCCCGACCTCTAGTTAATACTTGCGCATGTCCTTAGTTGCCACTTCCTTGACGAGTTTCGAGTAGACAAAATCTCCAAGGGACTCCATTTGAACCTTCTCAAAAAGTCCAATTGAAAAGAATATGTGACCACTACATGAGCTACCACAACCTTCCGAGTCAAAGCATTTGCCACATCATTTTGTCTCCAGGGGCTATGACCCAAAAAAGTCGAACCACAAGAACTCTTGCCATCGTGCTTGCTTTGGGAGCAGCTTCTTCTGTGTCCGGAAGTATGTATTAGCCAATTTTTTGTGACAACAGTGAACTTAGTTCCCAATGGGTAGTGATGCCACATTTCCAAACAATGGATCACGAACGTCATCTCTTCTCGTGGGTAATGTAGTGGGTTTCAGCATTCTTGAGCTTTTGACTGCCGAATACAATGAGATGTTTGTCCTGTACAAAGACACCTTGTATGGCCTTGTCCGAAGCATTGACTTATACCTCAAATGGCTTGTCGAATTTGGTGAACTAAAAAATCAGCCATGTGGCCATTGAAGGACTCTTTTCTTGACTTGTTGTTAATAGTTTTTAGCTGAGTACAATCGAAAGATCTCACTCGACCATCTTCTCGAAGGTAGGTTGTTCGGAGCTTCATTCACTATCTAGTCGTCAATTCACAAAAATGAAAATAGGGCCCTAATCATGCTACTTGCTTGATTGGGGGTGATTTGCAAGAAATTAAGCTAACAAATTAAAGCAAATGATGAAAGATGCATGTTTTGAAAGAAAGATTTGAACTTTGGTTGGCCGGAGTTTCCATAACTTGACGAAAATGAAAATACCAAAGTCAAAATATGCGAGCAAAGTGATCCTAGGTAATCTAAATGAGCATTATTAACTCAATCAACACGCCTTGGGCAAAGTCGAGACCTTTACACAAGATAAGCACGTATTGAATTCCTAACACAATTGAACAAACAATGAAAATAAAACAAAGTCCTAAAATGGAGCATCACACAAGATTCTAGCCAAAACACAAACTCGAAGAAAGAAACCCTAACCAAGCTACTTTACCTCCTATCGCAAGCTTAGATGAAAATAAATGCGTAAAGATCTAAATTTACATAAAATAAGGTCGCCAGAAAATTGCCGAAAAAGTCGCTAGGAAATATCAAGTCGTGAACCTCCAAATCAAAGCATAAATATAAAGAAAAAGAGCTAATTTCCCAATTAAAAAGTTGGGAAATGAAAGTTGGTGCTGAAAAATACAAAGGAAGATGTCTATATATAGCTACACCATAAACACACATACACACACACACACTAACTAAAAACACACACATTTAATGAAATTCTTCAGTTCGTCGGTCTCAAAAACGGTTTCGCATCGAGTGTGGCATGTGTTGGAGTGGCAGAGTGGCGTTCGCGGCACACAAACTCCGGATCGCTACGAGTGCACATGTGTGCTCATTAAAGAATAGTTATGTAGTACTTTGCATCAACTAATTTATTCGTATGCACAAAATTATTTATTCAAAATCTGTGACTATATGTACAATTCAAAGATCGAAGATAATCAGACTGCACAATGAATAGAGAATAGTAGAATACATATACTAACACATCTGAGATTAGTAATGTTATACCTAAAATTAACAGATCTGGATTAGCCCCTTTAATGCGGTGACATTGCCGACAAAATTCACATTGACGAGGAAGCGTCTGAAGAGCATTGACGCCACCCTCCTATGTCGATCTCGCTCCGGGTAGCAGATCCGTCAGGCCGACGTTACTATGATGTAAGAGAGGTAATCATCTTCAACAGATTCAATGAAAATGGTTTCTACCAAGAATCGGTTCGCACCGCCCAAAAATCAATTACTTGAGCAAATTATTGTGACACGTAGCGCCATCCATATAGTGGAGCCCTTGAAAGTCCACTATGTGTTATGGGAATAGTATTTTTTATCGCTCCTCCCCGTCTCTGAATAGTCATCCCCAGAGCGCTCAAAAGGACATAAGAAAATAGGAAGCTAAGTCAAAAATATAGAATAGGTCAAGTTCTTTCATTAGGTTTCATGTAATAAAAAACTCTAGAAGCAATCAAAATTTATCAATAAATCTCGGTACAAGCGTAATCAAGCAAGTACCTAATTCGTCGACTGTCTTATTGTTATAATTTTCTATCTCAAGTTATAATCCCTATTATTATGTCAATATAACATATTAACGCTCCGTAATATTAGTGGTAAAATCCACCGTCACAAATAATAGCAATTGAAAATTTATTGAAGAATAAATAACATCATATCATAGATTGAGAAATAAATATCACTGCGATACCCACATAATTAGCTAGGCCCTCAATTTAAGATTAGCCGTGTGAAATTGGTTAATCGTCACCATCATTTTCTCTCTTTTCTTACAGCGTTGTATATTATATTCTACAGCGCTAATCGCCACATTTAACACTGTTGAAGCCTGAAAGAGACCAAACAAAAAAGAAAATCGCCAAAAGAACATAAAAAATTAAAAATATACAGTTCCACACCCACCGTACATGGGGCTGACCACATACGATCACACACCCTTCATTCGTTATTCCCACGCGCCCGCTTTCAGCAGGTGTAGAACTGAGCGAGCTCGTTCAGCGATTCCGTCTTGGAATCGGCGTTTTCCAGCATCCAGAGGAGGTGCTCGAACAGCACCACCTCGCAGCCGAAGGTGACCGATCCCTCGCCGTCGGCCTGCCGCTGGGCCAGCTCGCGGAACAGCGGGTTCTCCATGACGTCGGAGGTCACAAGGTACCGCCGCCGGGATTTCCCCACGTAGACGGCGTGGAGCTCCTCGCCGGCGGCTGCCGAGTCGTCGTCGGAGCATCTAGCGGCGGAGACTGCGGCGTGGCCGAGCTTGAAGGACTGCATTCTCCTGAGGGCTGACTTGATTTTGGTGAGTTTACCTTCTTTGGCCATTTTTCTAATTAGGGTAGGTTTGTTTGGGGGATTGATTTAGAGTCGTTTTTGGATGCATAGGTGTTTTTTAGTTTCGGGGGAGGTTCGTGTTAGTTATAACTTATATAATGGTCGGAGTTTATAAAGAAAAGCAAAAAAGGAAAATGGAGACTTGGAGAGAGAGAGGAAAAAAAAGGTAATCCCCTCCCATATATATTCATTCAGAACGCGCTGAGCTTACGTGGCTACTTCTGGTGTTTCGTAATTTTATGTGGTAAAATTACATGCTTTGTTAGGCTTGAGTAAATTTTAATTTAATTTCAAACCAAAAATAATTAGGTTCGGATTACCATAAATATGTTGATTATTTATGGTCATGTTACATGTATTAATTGAATTTTAATATCATTCCTTATTATAACTAATGAATTGTATATATTTTTTAAAAATTAATAACTTCTGTATTTTTTATCAGTTTTACATATTAAATATATCAAATTAATCTTCTTTTGATGAGCTTCGATTTAACATCCATATTGTATATATATAAAAAATTATTAATATTTATCTTTATAACAATAATAAAATTATTTTTAATATTAATTAGAAAAATAATTTTTTTATCAACTAATATATTTATATTTCAAGTAGTTATATCATATAAGTTATAAAACTAATATAATATAACACATGTAAGTCATAAGTAACATATATTATTCTAAAATATATAGTAATATATTTTTTTTTTGTAAAAAATAAACTAAATTTAATATAGTTTTCTCATTAATTTAAATTTAAGAATAATTTTTTAACAAGCATCCGTGTAATACACGGAGTTATACTAGTGTTACATTGAATCAGAATGAAAGGGATGGGGCCCGCATCAGAGGTGAGAGTCATGAGGACCCAAAATGTTTGAGGTCCGGATTGGTCTGTCTGGTCTTGTCGAAGCAAAACCATATGCGAAATTTCACCAATTTGCCCTTTTTATTTATTTATATATTTCCATTTTGGTGACAAATTTTAAGTGTATAATTATGTGGAATAAATATAAAAATAACCTTTTTTTTTTTTTTTTTTGCGGGAACAATTGATTTGATAACACCAAACAATGTATGGATACAAAACGGGTAGCTTATTTAATTAAAAAAAAAAATTGTGGCAAAATAAAAGAAAAAAAATACTGTGGACAAGAATCAAACAGACGGATTTTGGAAATCCGTTTTTCTAAAAAAAAATGGATTTCCAAAATCTTTTTTTTTTTAAACGGATTTTCAAAATCTGTTTTTTAATTTTTTATTTTTTTTAAATCAAATTGTGAAATTCGGGCTCGTTAGGGCTCGTCCGAACTCGGAATTGAGTTCTGTTTTTTCTTACATATCGCCAACGCAGCCTTCTACGTATTTATGCTTTCGAATCTAATTTATTCTTGAAAACTTATTCTCCCAAAGCTCTTGACCTGAAGTTGGCAGCTTCCGTGCACGACTTCGCATATCGAGCCCGTTCGGACTCGTCCGAACTCGAAATTGAGTTTTGATTCTTCGTACATATCGCCAACGAATCGTACTACTAGAGCATGCTTTTATGACCAATATTCGTGTTGGAACTATTCCTTGCGGGGCTTCCGGCCAAAAAGGGGAAAAAAGAATAAATAAAACGAAGAAAACTAGCAAAGTTCGGGCTCGTCCGAACTCGAATTGAATTCCCTTTTTTTCGTACATGTCGCCAACAAAGCCTTCTATATAATTACGCTTTCAAATCCAACCTATTCATGAAAACCTATTATCCCAAAGCTCTTGACCCGAAGTTGGCGGCTTTCTTGCACGACTTCGCATATCGGACCGTTAGGACTCGTTTGAACTCGAAATTGAGTTTCAATTCTTCCTACATGTCGCCAACGAATCCTACTACTAGAGAATGCTTTTCTGACCAATTTGATGGCTGGAACTATTCCTTGCGGGGCTTCCGGCTTAAAACGGGGGAAAAGAATAAATAAAGAAAAAGACTAGCAAAATTCAGGATCGTTTGGGCTCGTCCTAACTCGAAATTGAATTCTGTTTTTTCCTACATGTCGCCAACGAAGCCTTCTATGTAATTATGCTTTCAAATCCAACCTATTCTTGAAAACCTATTATCTCAAAGCTCTTGACCTGAAGTTGGCGGCTTTCTTGCACGACTTCACATATCGGGACCGTTAGGACTCGTACGAACTCGAAATTGAGTATCGATTCTTCTTACATGTCGTCAACGCATCCTACTACTAGAGAATGCTTTTCTGAACAATTTTCGGGCTGGAACTATTCCTTGCGGGGCTTCCGGCCTAAAACGAGGGAAAGGATTAAAAAACGAAGAAGACTAGCAAAATTAAGGCTCGTTTGGGCTCGTCTGAACTCGAAATTGAATTCCGTTTTTTCCTACATGTCTCCAACGAAGCCTTCTATATAATTGTGTTTTAAAATCTAACCTATTCTTGAAAACCTATTATCTCAAAGCTCTTGACCTGAAGTTTGCGGCTTTCTTGCACGACTTCGCATATCGGGACCGTTCGGACTTGTCCGAACTCGAAATTGAGTTTCGATTCTTCCTACATGTCGCCAACAAATCCTACTACTTTAGCATGCTTTTACGGCAAATGTTTGGGCTGAAAATATCTATTGCGGGGCTTCCGACCTAAAACGGGGGAAAACAAAAAGAAAAACAAAAAAAACTAGTAAAATTGTACTAATTTGAGTTCAATTGGACTAATTTGAGTTATATTACACTATAATTGACGGTGATTGGTGTTGTAATCGAATTTGAATTAGTCCAATCAAAGTCAAATTAGTATAATCGAACTCGAATTAGTCCAATCACAGTCAATTATAGTGTAATCGAACTAGAATTAGTCCAGTCGAAGTCAAATTACTATAATTGATGTCAAATTAGTATAATCGAAATCAAATTAGTCCAATCGAAGTCAAATTAGTCCAATCGAACTCGAATTACATCGAAATCAAATTAGTACAATCGAAATCAAATTAGTCCAATCGAAGTCAAATTAGTCCAATCGAACTCCAATTAGTCCAATTGAAGTCAAATTAGTATAATCGAACTCGAGTTAGTCCAATCACGGTCAGTTATAGTGTAATTGAACTCGAATTAGTCCAATCGAAGTCAAATTAATATAATCGAAGTCAAATTAGTATAATCGAAATTAAATTACTCCAATCGAAGTCAAATTAGTCCAATCGAACTCGAATTAGTCCAATGGAAATCAAATTAGAACAATCGAAGTCAAATGATTCCAATCGAAGTCAAATTAGTACAATCGAAATCAAATTAGTCCAATATGCGAAGTCGTGCACGGAAGCTACCAACTTCAGGTCAAGAGCTTTGGGAGAATAGGTTTTCAAGAATAAATTAGATTCGAAATCATAAATACGTAGAAGGCTTCGTTAGCGACATTTAGGGAAAAACAGAACTCAATTCTGAGTTCAGACGAGCCCTAACGAGCCCGAATTTCACAATCCGATCTAAAAAATTAAAAAAAAAAATTGAAAAACGGATTCAAATCCGTTACCAAAAAAAAAAAAAAAAAACGGATTATGGAAATCGGTTTTTAAAATAAAAACGGATTTTCATAATCCGCCTGTTTGATTCTTGTCCACATCATTTTTTTTCTTTTATTTGTTGCCACAGAATTTTTTCTTTTTTTTTAATTTAATAAATGATTTGATACAAAACAATTTCAAAAAAATTCAATCATTTTTAACTCAACTATTTTTTTTTTTAACTCAACTTTAACACAATATCACTATCATCAATATTTTATTATAATTAAATAATATCAATCAATTATTCTTACACAATACATCATCTTTAATTTACTATTCATCCTCTCACATAATTTTAACTAACAATCACTTCAACTTCTCTCTCTTACTTTTTAGTGGTAATGGTGCTTTATAGCACTTAAACAAAATAAATGATGAAATATAGCCATCTTTCTAAGAAAGATGAAATATAGCCATAAAGGCATGTGAGAAGACATAATTGCCCTTAGACACCATTTTATCAATTTTTTCCCATTTCCATTTTTCACCATTTTTCCCCTTTTTTTTCACCATCTTCATTTTCCTTTTTTTGAACCCCGCTCGAGTACTCTCTCTCTCTCTTTCTCTCTCTGTAACCTCGACAATTTTTTCTCGGCCTCGTCGGCTCTCTCTATCTCTCATTCTCGGCCTCGTCGGTCGGTGAAAAAAGGGACCATCTTCATTTCCCCGCTCTCGGCGTCGTCGGCGAAAAAAGGGACCATTTTTATTTCCCCGCTCTCGGCCTCGTCGGCGAAAAAAAGGTTCTCATTTTCGGCGAATTTCACGGTACTCTATGTCTCTCATTGTCGGCCTCGTTGGCGAAAAAAGGGTTAGGTCTGATTTAGGATTTTTGGTCCGCAATTACATAATTTTTAGGATTTAGGGTTTTAGGGAAAATTTGTATCTTGAGTTCAATTAATATTGTGGAGTTCAATTAATATTTTGGTTTTTTTATTTTTTATTTTATTCATTGAGACGGCTGTGGGTTGTGGTGTTTGTTCTTGTTTCCCAGTTTAGTTCTTTCACAATTGATGTTCATGTTCCATTTTTTATTTTCAATTTTTGTTCTTTTACATTTTCCAGATTCATGGTGTTTTTTGATATAATAAACATTTTGAGCACCCATTTCCAACAATAGTAGTGTGCTTATATGATACTGCACCCTCTTTGAATGTAGTGTACTCTTGTGGCCTACAGGGAAGGCATGACAAGCTAGTTAGTAGATTGCTTCAATTGCAGAGTAGCATTTTCTGTTTTTTTTTTTTTTTTTTT